AAATTATTCAAGATTAAAGATAAGGAGAAACTCTTAAAATCAGCAAGCGGAAAGGAGACAGTCATCTACAAAGGAGTGCCCATAAGGCCATCAACTGATTTCTCCAAAGAAACCTTATGGGCAAGAAGGGGCTGGAAAGAAGTATTCAAAGTCATGAAAAGCAAGGACCTACAACCTAGATCACTCTACCCAGCAAAGCTATTATTTAGCATGGAAGGGCAAATAAAGAGCTTCCCAGATAAGGTCAAGTTAAAGGAGTTCATCATCGTGAAGCCTTTATTATATGAAATGTTACAGGGACTTATCTAAGAAGAAGAAGAAGATGAAAACTATGAACAGTACCATGACAGCATACTCACAACTATCAACAACTGAACCTTCAAAAGCCCTAAAACAAAACAAACTAAGCAAACAATAAGAACAGGAACAGAACCACAGAAATGGAGATCACATGGAGGGTTATCAGTGGTGATGGGGAGGAGGGAGAATGGGGAAAAGGTACAAGGAATGAGAAGCATAATTGGTATGCACAAAATAGACAGAGGGGGATTAAGAATAGTACAGGAAATGGAGAAGTCAAATAGCTTATATGTACAACCCTTGGACATGAACTAAGATGGGAAACATGATGGAGGGAAGGGGGTACAGGGTGGAAGAAAAAATGAGATAACTGTAATAGCATAATCAATAAAATATACTTTAAAAAAGAAAAAAGCTCTAAACAAATCAAGAATAGAGGAAAATATTTAGTCTGACAAAGGATATCTACCAAAAACCTACAATAAACATTATAATTAATGTAGAGACTTTAGCAACATTTTCATTAGAGTCATGAATATGATGAGGATACCTGCTTTCCAGATTACTATTGCACATTACATTGAAGAGATCATTGTCAATTACATAAGAGAAGGAATTGTCTTTAACCATGGACTCTGATTTGCTACATAGAAAACCAAAGAGAATGTTCAGAGAAGTCATTTTAACCATTTAAGTAGTTCATCAATGTTGCTGCATAGAAGACATTCTTTAAAAATCAATAATAATACTATGCAGTAGCAAAAAATTAGAATATATCATTATTAGTTGTAAAATGGTGATAGAGTAAAAGGATCTTTCTCCAACCTCCTCCCAGAACCCAAATGGAAATTAAAATAAAGAGGGGAACAGCCACCTGGAATTACCAACAGAAGACCACCTGAACAGGAGACTTTTAAGCAAGGATGGGCAGAAACCACCTGGAGACCCGAATGTAGGGCCAGTTGTGAAAGAGGGTGGCTTGCTCCAATGGGCAGCAGGCCAAGGTTATGGAGAGATAGCATGGCTGTGGGAGCTTCTCCCTGAAAAGAGTGAAGCCTGGACCCCAGACTGGGCTCTCCAGCAAAGAGCAATGGAGTATGGATTAGCCACCCACATAGCAATATAGCAGTGATAGGTGGTGGGGTTTCTCTCCACTCAGGAGAAACAAAGCCCTCTGGAGACAAAGCCACTGTATTTTTTAAGGGGCCAAAGCACAAGTTTTTCTATCTCAGCCATTCACCCTGGCCTCTGGCAAAGGGAGGACCATAGAAACTAGAGTTGCCTGAGGGGTGTCTGGAGTCGGAGGCATTGAAAAGAGATGTGGGAGTGCTGTTGTCAGGATCACTGTGTGGGGTCATCCTCTGATATCGCAGCAGCCGTTATTCTTGAGAAGAGAAAGCCACTCCCAGGAGACTCATCCTGGGGAAAAAACAATTGCACCACCCTATGGGATACCACTCATCCCACCCTCTAAAATCATTAGTTGCTGCACCCTCTGGAATTCTGCCTACCCCACAGTGTAACTTTTTATTTTCCCACCCTGCATCTTAACCCCTGCTGAGGAGACAAAATGTAGGAAGGCTTAGGGGGTTCCAGAGACTATCTCTGGGGCATGGTCATTCCCTACACTATCCCAGGAACTAGAGTGGCACTTTGTCCTCATGAGAGCCAGTAGAAAGATCTGATAGAAACACCTTCCTGGTCTGCAGCAGACCCAAACTCTGGGCTCTGGAGGCCACACCTGCTTGCCTACTTGGGGTTCTGCTCTGCCAAGTTCTGGAAAATAATCCAGGACAAACTCAGATGTATGGCTCTGGGGTGGAGAACACACCCACCATCTTCTCAGAAGTCTGAATAGTACCTCCCCACATCATGGGAGATCCAGGAGTCCCATCCTCCTGATTCTATGAAAAGACTTCTTAGAAAGAATCATTTTAGTTACTAAGAATTATAAGAGGTTGTTAGGCAGATGCAGATGGAAGCAGATACTGTGGTACCTTGGAATGTTTGCTGACACATCCCAAGCCCTGTTGGTAAAAGTCAGCCTTGCAGGTCTATCCATATTGTTGCAAAGGGTAAATTTTTCTTCTTTTTTTACAACTGAGTAGTATTCCATTGTATAAATGTCCCATAGTTGTTTTATTCACTTATCTACTGATAGACACTTGGGCTGCTTACAATCTTGGTGATTGTAAGTAACACTTCAATGAACATAGGGGTGCTTATGTTCTTTTGAATTACTATTTTGACTTCATTCAGATATATTCCCAGAAGTGGGATGGATGGGTCAAAAGGCAGATCCACTTTTAATTTTTTGAGGTATCTCCATACTGCTTTCCACAGTGGCTACAACAATCTGCATTCCCACCAACAGTGCAAAAGGGTTCCCCTTTCTCCATGTCCTTGCCAACAGTTGTTGCTAAATGAAATAAGCCAGCCAGAAAAAAAATAAACACCATATGGTCTCACTCATATGTGGAATCTAGTGAACAAACTGATCTAATAAACAAAATAGAGACACACTCATAGAGAGCAGGATGGCATCTAAGGGAGAGGGGAGGTTGAGTGCAAAGGAATTGAGCAAAAAGGAAAAAGGGCCCATGAACATAGACAACTGTGTGGTGATTGAAGAATGGAAGGGGTTTAAGGGGACTAAATGGTAAAGAAAAAAAGTACAATATAAAATAAAAAATAAAATGATATGGAAAAGAAAAGGAAAGCCTTGTAGGCCCTGGCTGGCGTAGCTCAGTGGATTGAGCACAGGCTGAGAACCAAAGTGTCGCAGGTTCAATTCCCAGTCAGGGTACATGCCTGGGTTGCAGGCCATGACCCCCAGCAACCACACATTGATGTTTATCTCTCTCTCTCTCTTTCTCCCTCCATTCCCTCTCTAAAAATAAATAAATAAAATCTAGAAAAACAAAAAACCTTGTAGCACATCTTGACCCCTCCCATATGCAGCAAAGCCTGGCAGAGGCAGCCACAAACTGCGGATTGCTTGTAGCTTCCAACAGGCTGCCAAGGGCCAGATGTGGACAGCATCTGATTTTGGCTTACAGCAGTTTCAGACAATATCAAAGCAGTATCCAAAGGGAGATACCACCAGTGAGGAAATAAACTCAGCTCAGACAAAATTCCACTTTGTTCTTTTTAATTATTTTCACTATTTTTCTTTTGCATAGCCTTTTAAACTAGTAACTTTCTTATATTTTTCTCTATCTTTTCTATCATATCTCTTGTTACTCTGTTTCTTACTCTATTTTATGCTTCTTATTTTCCTTTCTTATATTTTTTATTCTTTATCTTTGTTCTTTTTGCTGTTTTTTCCCTTTCTATTCCTTATCTCTGTTCTTTTTCTTCCTTCTCCCCTTCCATAATATTTTTTTTCTTTCATTTGGTTTTCTCATATTCTTTTTTTATTCTACTATTCTATTTCTTTTTTCTCTTATTCTTTTCTATTAGATTGTTAATTTTTCTGTTTTTGTTGGGGTTTTCTATTGTTTTTGTTCATTTTTCATGTTGTTTTGTTTTGTTCTTTCAGCACCTGTACAACAGCTTGCAAGATGTGGTTGGGGATGAGCCTCTCATTCAGCCATCCAGAAGGGAGATTCAAACCAATGAAAGGGCAAAAAAAAAAATCAAGAACCAATTACAACAGTAGTGCCTGCATAACCAACACAGGGGACATTTCTAGAACATCCAGCCCAGGAGATTAAGGAGACTGCACTACTGGGTCCCACAAAACTTGTACAACAAAAGGCCACTCCATGTACACTTGGAGTTAAAGCAGATCAATGTGATACACAGAAACAAGCAAAAACATACATCTAAAATGGGGTTACAAACAATGTCCAAAAGAAAGAAAAGGAAGAATCCCCAGAAAAAGAGCTAAATGAAATTGAAGCAAGAAATTATCAGACATAGAGTTTAAAGTAATGATTATAAAGATGTTTAATGAACATAGTGAAAACTACTAGGAACTTTATGGCAACTAAAAGAAACGGACTAGGAACTACATTAGCATGAAAAAAGACATAGAAAGTATGAATAAAAATGAGGAGGACATGAAGAATACAATATCTAAAATGAAGAATACACTAGAAGGAATTAAAAGCAGGTTAGATGAGGCAGAGAATCAAATAACCAATTTGGAAGACAAGTTAGGAAAAAATACCCAATCAGAAGTGCAAAAATGAACAAAAGAATGATGATAATTTAAGGAAACTTTAGGACAACATAAAATGTAACAATATCTGCATCATATGGGGTTCCAGAAGGAGAATAAAGTGATGAAATAATGACATAAAACTTCTTTAACCTGGTGAAGGAAAAAGTTACACAAGTTCAGAAAGCACAGAGTGCCAATCAAGATAAATCCAAAAAGATCCACTCCAAGACACATTATAATTGTTAAAGTGATAAGAACAGATATTATACTTGATCTTAGCCAAAAGGCCAAGAAGAAAGACACATCATAAGTAAAATGGCAAAGTTTAAAGACAAAGAGGGAATCTCAAAGGCAGCAAGAGAGAAACGGCTAGTTACCTGCAAGGGATCTCCCATAAGCTCTCTGCTGATTTCTCAACAGAAGCAGTCCAGACCAGAAGGGGTTGACATGAAATATTCAAAGTAATGAAAAGCAAAGACCTACAGCCAAGACTACTCTATCCAATAAGGCTATCATTTAAAAGTGAAGGTGAGCCCTGGCTGGTGTGGCTCAGTGGTTGAGCGCTGGACTGTGATTCAAGGGTCACTGGTTCGATTCTCAGTCTAGGGCACATGCCTGGATTGCGGGCCAGGTCCCCAGTAGGGGGGGTGTGATAGGCAACCATACGTTGATGTTTCTCTCCCTCTCTTTCTCTCTACCTTCCTCTGTCTAAAAAATAAAATAAAACCTTTAAAAAAGAGAGAGAGGGTGAAATAAAGAGCTTCCCAGGCAAAGAAGAAAGAAAAGAAAAGAAAAGAAAAAAGAAATAGAGGGAGGAACATTGGTATAAAGATAAAGTGGCAATGAGTAGGTTCCTATCAATAATAATATTAAATATAAGTGGATTAAATGCTCCAATGTGAAGACATAGAGTAGATGAGTGGATAAGAAAACATGATCCATATATATGCTCTTCACAAGAGACTCATTTTAAAACAAACTATTTATACAGGCTGAAAGTGAGAAGATTGAAAAATATTCCATGCAAATGGAGATTTAAAAAAAAGCGTGGGCAACAATACTTATGTCTCACAAAATAAACTTCAAAACAAAGGCCATAATGAGGAAAAGGAAGGTCACTACCTAGTACTAAAGGGATCAACACAACAAGAGTGCATGTATGCACCCAACATAAAAGCATCAAAATATATAAAGAAAATCTTTATGGATAAAGGAAGAGATTGAAGCAATACACTCAGAGTAAGAGATTTTAACACCCCCCTGTTATCAATGGAGATATCTTCCATACAAAACATCAACAAGGAAATAGTGATATTAAAAGACACACAATATCAAATGGATTTAATTGTTAATTTCAGAACATTTTATCCAAAAACAAAATAATATACATTCTTCTAAAGTGCACACAGGTCATTCTCAAAAATAGAGCACATGATAGGAACAAAATAAGTCTTAACAAATTCAAGAAGACTGAAATCATATCAAATACTTTCTTGTATCACAATAACATGAAATTTGAAATCAACCTCAATAAAAATGCTAAAAGATATTCAAATACATGGGAGCTACATAGCATGATATTAAATAATGAAAATGTCAATGAGATGATGGAAAAAAATCAAAATTACCTGGAAATGAATGAAAATGAACACACAACAAACCAAAACCTATGGGACACACAGCAAAAGCAGTCTTGAGAGAGAAGTTCATAGCATTACAAGCTTATCTCAAGAAGCAAGAAAAACCTCAAGCAATCTAACTCTACATCTTAAAGAACTAGAAAAACAACAACAAACAAAGCTCAGAGTATGTATATGGAAGAAAATAATCAAGATCAGAGTGGAAATAAATGACATAAAGACTAAAAATACAATTCAAAAGATCAATGAATCCAGGAGCTGGTTCTTTGAAATGATAAAAAAAAAATTGACAACCTTTAACAAGACTCATCAAGAAAAAGAGAGGACCCCAATAAATACAATCAGAAATGAAATAAGACAAGTGACAACTGATATCACAGAAATACAAAGGAGTATAAGAAAAATTATCAACAATTACATGAGGTCTGTCTGGAAAAACTCCAGCCATTGTTAATATAATGAGAACAGTTTGTGCAACATCAATGCAACTGGGAAGCCAGAGAGAGTGGACTGGAATGTGCAGTATGAACAATGACAACATCACTGTACTAGTCAGTGGGGGTGGTAGATGTCATTGAATGAACATGTGTACAGTGTCACTATTGCATTCAAAATGACTGAGTGAGTAGAGCAACAAATCTGCATCAAATTTTCATTAAGCTTGAACTTTCCTCTGAGGAAACTATTACAATGATTCATAAGGCCACAGGATTGGGCTAATGGTGATTGACAGCTTCTTGATGACAATGTGCTTCATCATACACCACATCTTGTCCAGAAATTTTTTGTGAAACATCAAATCACTCAGGTGACTCAGTCTCCCTACACCCCAGATTTTGTGCCATGCACTTCTGGCTTTTTCCACAACTATAATCACCTATGAAAGTGAAGAGATTTCAGACCATCAATGAGATTCAGAAACATATGACAGGACAGCTGATGGTGATTGGGAGAACTGTGTGAGGTCCCAAGGTGCCTACTTTTAAAGGGAACTGAGATGTCATTCTCCTATATACAATGTTTCTTGTATTTTTTTAATTAATGTCTCTATTTTTCATATTACATGGATGGAACCTTTCTGGATAGATCTCACCATATGTCAAGAAATTGGACAAGCTGGGCAAAATAGATGGATTTCTAGAAACATACAATCTTCTAAAAATAAATCAGGAAGAGCAGAAAACCTGAATACACCAATAAAAACTAATGAAATTGAAGCAATAAACAAAAAAACTCCCAGCAAACAAAGTCCTGGACCAGACAGCTTCACAGGTGAATTTTACCAATCATTCTAAATTGAACTAACAGCTATTACTCTCAAACTAATTTAAAAAATTCAACAGATGGGAAGACTTCCAAGCTCTTTTTATGATGCTAGTGTTATCCTAATTCCAAACCAGATAAAGACATAAAGAAACAAAATCACAGATCAATATCCCTGATGAACATATATGCTAAAATCCTCAACAAAACATTAGCAAATTGGATCAAATGATACATTAAAAAGATCACACAGCATAACCAAGTGGGATTTATGCTGGGGGTACAAGGTTGGTAAGATACTTGCAAATCAATAAATATGATATATAACATTAAAAATGTAAAATAACAATCAAATGATCACATCAGTAAATGCTGGAAATTAATTTAATAAAAATTCAGCACTCATTTATGATAAAAACTCTCAGCAAAGTGGGAATAGAGGGACCACATTTCAACATAATAAAGGTCATATATGAAATCCTACAGCCAATATCATACATCATACTCAATAGACAAAACCTAAAAATGTTTCTATTAAGATCAGAAACAAGGCAGGGATATTGACTTTCCCCTCTCTTATTCAACATACTGCTGGAGGTCCTACCCACAGTGATCAGACAAATAGAAGTAATAAAGGCTACCAAATTGGAAAGGAGGGAGTAAAATTGTCCTTATTCACAGGTGATAAGATGAACATAGGAAACCCTATAAATTGCACACAAAAAACCTACTAAAACAAATAAATGAATTCAGCAAAATAGAGGGATACCAAATCATTACTGAGAAGTCAATGGCATTTTTATACACCAATAATGAACTATCAGAAAGAGAAATTGAGAAACAATCACATTTACTCCTGTAAAAACAACCAAAAAAAAAAGGTACCAAGTAATAAATTTAACCAAGGAGGTAAAGACCTGTACCCAGACAACTATAGGATACAAATAAGTGGAAGCATATACCATGTTCATGGATTAGAGGAATTAACATCATTAAAATGTCCATACTACAGAAAGCAATATAGAAATTCAACACAAATCCTATTAAAATATCAAAGGCATATTTTATAGATCTAGAATCAACATTCTAAAAATTTAAATGGAACTAAAAAAAGACTCTGGATAACCTTAGCAATCTTGAGAATGAAATACAAAGTTGGAGGTACCACAATACCTGATATAAAATTACAATATAAGGCCACTATAATCAAAACACCCTTGTACTGGCATAAGAGTAGACATATGGATCAATGGAACAGAACAGAGAAACGAGACATAAACCCACATCTTTATGGTCAATTTATATTTAACAAAGTTGGCAAGAGGCATATAATGGAGTAAAGACAGTCTCTTCAATAACTAATATTAGGAAAACTGGAATGGTACAAAAATTGAAACTAGATCACAGGCTTGCACCATATGATAGAATAAACTCAAAATGGATAAAATACTTAAATATAAGTGGTGATACCATAAAAACCCTAGAGGAAAACAGTAAATTACAGTTATCTCACATAGAAAGAAAAATAAGGAAATAAAGAAAAAATCAACAAATGGGACTACATCAAATTAAAAAGTTTCTGTATAGGAAAGGACACCATCATCAAGATGAAAAGGGAACTGACCGTATGAGAGAATACATTTCTCAATGATACATTAGATAAGGGTTTAATTTCCAAAATATATAAGGAACTTATAAGACTCAACACCAGGTAGACAAACAATCCAATTAAAAAATGAGCAAAGGACCATAATAGACACTTCTCCAAGAAGGACATACAGAGGGTCAATAGACATATGAAAAAAAACTCAGAGGTGGGGACAGCTGGGATAGGGGTGAGTGGTGGGGAGAAAATGGAGACAACTTTACTTGAACAACAATAAAAATAACAAAAAAAATAAAACAGAAGAATGTATGCACCTCTATTCCATAACACCAGTATACACAGTAGCCAAGATCTGGAGACAGCCTAAGTGCCCACCAGTAGGTGAGTAGATAAAAATGCTGTGGTACATTTATCCAATGGAATACTGCACAGTAGTAAAAAAGAAGGAACACTTGCTTTTCCAACAGCATGGATGGAACGGGAGACTATTATGCTAAGTAAAATAAGCCAGACAGAGAAAGACAAATACCGTATGATCTCACTGGTATGTAGAATCTACTGAACAAAATAAACTGAGGAACAAAATAGAATCAGAGGCATAGAAATAGGGAATAGACTAATAGCTGTAAGAGGGAAGGGGGCACTGGTTGAAAGAAGGTGAAGATATTAGTTAAAGAACAGTAAATATGACCTATGAACATGGACAATGGTCTAGGAATTGCCTGAGGGAGCCGGTTTTGCTGGGTGGAGGAGAAAAGGGGGGAAACTGGTACAACTCTAACAGCATAAACAATAATATTAAAAAGGAGAAAACAACCCTTGCTGGTGTGGCTCAGTGGATTGAGTTTTGGCCTGTGAACCAAAGGGTCACTGAAATGTACAACTGTACATTTTTCAAAACTCATCACATTGTAACTGGTGAATTTTATTGTTTGTAAATTATACATCAGTAAAGCTAGTTAAAATAAATATACTGTTCACAGTAACAACCAACACAATTAAATACCTAAGTATAAATATAAAAAAGGATTCCCATGATCTTGATGGAAAATATTGTAAGCACTATTCAAGGACATAAAAAAGACTTTATAGAAAGGAGAT